GTCGGACAGGGCAAGATATGACAAAACAATAATTTATAAATTATCTAGGGTTCATGAGGGAGGGGGGAGGGGGAGGGAGGAGAAAAGTGAAGAGCTGATGCCAGGGACTTAGGTGGAGAGCAAATGTTTTAGGAATGATGATGGCGTTGAATGTGCAGATGTGTTTTACACAGTTGATGTGTGTGTGGATTGTGATAAGAGTTGTATGAGCCCCTAATGGAATGATTAAAAAAAAGAAAGAAAAGTAGAGAGTGTGGTGGGAGACGGGCTGAGGGATGGAGCACCCAGCCACCACGTGAAACTTCCAGCCACCACGTGTAACAGTCCTGCCCGGAGACTTCATGTTGACTTCCCAGCTTTGTTTTCCTCCTTCACGTTGATCGCTATCTTCCATGCCATATTTTGGTTATTTTTCTTATCTTACTGGTCAGCTGTCCCTCCCAGTGGAATGTAATCACTATGAGGACATTGATTTTTCAGGGTTTTTTTCTTTTTAATTTAAAGATCATTTTATTGGGGGCTCGTCCAGCTCTTATAACAATCCAGACATCAATTGTATCCAGCATATTTGTACATATCTTGCCATCATTCGTTTCTAGACATTTACTTTTCTATTGAGCCCTTGGGATCAGCTCCAATGTTTCTGTTTTGTTGACCAACCCAGGCCAGCACCTAGACCAGGGCTTGGCACACAGAGGCACCCTGTAAAGTATTTACTAACTGAATGAAGGAGTGAGCCAATGGGGGATCCCTGAGCCTGGAGGCTCCCGATGACCTGTGGCTTCCATGCTGGTGACAAGCTGGCACTGGCAGTAAAAATATGTCCCTTCTATACCCTCCCTTCCTGGCGTGCAGGGACCTGGGAAAAACGGAGCCGCCGATCCATATCTCCGACTGGGAAGGAAGATGGGATTAGGTACCAGAAATAAGAGGAAGGATGTCTCCGCCCATCTGTTCTCCAAGGCAGGGGCTGCGAGCAGTCTGGCGCGCTGCCTGCTCCCAGAAACAGGATGTGTCCAGAGAGGAAGTGACTGCAGACGGAGTGTGGGGTGGAAAGGAAAATGCCCTGTGCCTGAGACAGAACGCTGGAGACCAGGCATTCCAGAGCCTTCCACGGGCCCATTCCTAGGGGATGAGTAAAATCCGGTCTGGGGTTCCCCAGAGGCTCACTCTGTATCTTGGAGAATCCACAGCCCATCTGTTAGACTGAGTGAATAGGTGTTTCCGTCTTTGGAATCCCCAGTCTAGGTGACTGGGTGCTAACAAGGAGAGGATGCTTATCCCAGCCCCTTGGCCCTCTCAGGTGGCTCATGTCCATTAGCCAGCATCTCCCTGAGGACCATGTAGATGAGGAAGGTCGCACCTGGCAAAGCGGCAGGTGTCTGTCACCCAACCAAACAGCCATTTGCCGTGGAGATGATCCTGACTGCCCAAGTGCGTCTGAGAAAAGCTGTCCCCCATGTGATTCCACTGGCTGTTTGCTCCCAAGTAGAGCACCAGGCCTTTCGTCAAGGTGTCTCTAGGAAGTCTCGAGCCCCCTTGCTTTCACTCAGAAGCTGACTGCACTCACTGGGGGCACGTCCCCCCAGGGACTCCATCCTGGTCACAGGAGGGAGGAACAGCTGCTGTCCCAGCGAAGAGAAGAGCAGGACTCTTCACAGGGGTAACTCAGTAGGCAGTCATCTGCACAGCTTGTCCTTGAGTTGAGGTCAGCCAGTAAGCAGTCCAGCAGGCCATTGGCAGGGGATCTCTCAGGAAACTTGTTTTCTGCACCTTCCGCCAAAGTGGGCCAGGAGGCCAACCTCTCCTGACAGAGACCCATACCCCTCCAACTATTGTTGGAGGTGGGTCCTGACTCAAGACCACAAACCAAGGCTGTGACTCGAACTTGAACTCG